TCTTTTCACAGCAGTGGCAATTAAGGATCTTACTGTTGTCATCTTCACAACGGGTGAGAAGGTTTCCACATAATCAATCCCTGCTTGTTGAGTATAACCCTTGACAACTAACCTTGCTTTGAATCTCTCAATGCTTCCATCTGCCTTATGTTTCACCTTATATACCCATTTGCACCCTATGGCTCTCTTCCCCACAGGTAGTGGCAATAAGTCCCAAGTATGATTTGCATGTAATGCCTCAAATTCTTGAGTCATGGCTGCTTGCCAAGTAGGATTAATAGCTGCTTCCTTATAGGTCAGTGGTTCACAATCATGACATACATTTTGTAACAAAAACTGACTATTAGGAGAAATATCATCAGGGGTGATATGGTGGTTATTGGAAAATAAGGCATGTAAGGATAGGGAACGGGTGTGCTGTTTAGGTACATTAGTGAGGCAGTGATAGTCATTGAGATATGCAGGTGCCTTATGAGTTCTACTGGATTTTCGTGTAAAAACAGGGTCCTCAACAGCATGAACTATAGGAGCATTGACATCAGGTTGTAAAGCAGGATCAAGTGATGATCTAGTATCCATAACATTTACACTTTCATGATCATTTGAATAAGGTACAGGTACATATGTGTCCTCACAGTCAAGATGAAGATTAAGGGGGATAAGAGAACTATAAGGAATGCAATGTAATGATTTGGAGACAAAATCAAAGGATGCACCTTTGGGTGCAGATGCAAAGGGAAAACCAGTTTCATGAAACACCACATCTCTAGAGACATGAATTTTTCTGGTGGCTAGGCTTAGTACTTTGTAACCTTTTGTTCCAAAAAGATACCCTACAAAGATGTGGGGTGTAGTTCTAGGCTCAAATTTGTCCCTATGAACCTTTGGTATTGTGGGATAACAAAGACATCCAAAGTTTTTAATGCTGAATATTGAGGTTTTCTTTGGTATAGAACTTCAAAAGGACATTTCCCATGTAAGGAGCTAGAAGGTAACCTGTTTATGATATGAGTGGTTGTTAGGATACACTCTCCCCAATATTTCTGGGGTAAGTGAGACTGAAACATTAAGGCTCTGGTATCCCTAACAGATATTTGTGTTTTCTTTCAACTACACCATTTTGTTGTGGTGTGTATGGACAGGACCTTTGGTGAATAATGCCTTTGGATTGCAAATAGAGAGTGGCTTCATTGTTTATGAACTCTAAGCCATTGTCTGACCTAATGGTCTTTAGGGATGTGTTAAATTGGTTTTCAATCATGGAAAGGAAAGCTTTGATCACTTGAAGAGCATTACTCTTGCAACTAAAAAGATGTGTCCATGGATCTGCTACAGTCATCCACCATGGTAATAAAATACTTGTGATTATCATGTGTGGTAGTATTGTAGGGTCCCCAGAGATCCACATGCAGAAGTTCAAACAATTTAGTGGAATGAGTGGTGCTCTTGGGAAAGGGTAATCTAGTCTGCCTAGACATAGGGCAAACTGGACAGACAAATAGTTGTTTGGTTTTAAAATTTGTAGGTATTGAATTTATGGCTTTCATCTTTGCAAAAGGTACATGACCAAGCATGTTGTGCCACAACAAATCTTCATTATCTCTAGGGAACAAGACTGAATTCAAGACAGTGTGCTCATTATTATTATGTGAATTGGAGCCAATTACAGGTGAATGTAAAAGACATGAATGAGAAGAGTATGTAGAATTCTCTATTACAGAATTGGAAATGGAAAAACAAGAAGTACTAGCAGCTCTCCCAGCACTGTTATCCATCAAGCATCTTGAGCACAAGAAATATAAACCATCCCTGCACTTACCAATCTCCTGAGGCCTCTTCATTGAAGGGGCCTGCAATAGACAAGTAGTGTCAGTGAATGTTACAGTGCCTTTTAAAGGAACAGTAAGAGAATGTATGGAGATGAGATTGAATTTGAAAGAAGGCACATACAATACTTTATACAATGTGATCTTAGGTGTAAGTGTTACATCTCCTAGCTCAGTCACTTTTACTTTATATCCATTTGGTAGGCTTATCAAAATAGGATATGGTAAAGGTCTAATGTTTGTCAAGAAGGATTTGTGAAAAGTCATGTGGTTCGATGCCCCCGAATCTAGGATCCACAAGTCAGATTTTGATTCAAAATGTTTGCATGAAAATTTACCAAGATCAATAGAGGAAGTACAAACTACGTTACCTGCAAAGTTCACAAAACCATTACCCATATCAGGACTATCTGCAACTGCTCCAGCATTGTTCACTTGGAAGTGATGCAGCATTGTCATAACATTGTGGTATTGCTCCCTTGACAAACTTACATTGTCAACTGTATCCTTCTTCATTTGATTGTCCCCTTCATTGAACAGCGAATCAACTGGTGTACCATGAACATTCCCTGCAACTCGTTTGTAATTGTAGTTGGGATTAGAGTTATATGCCTGTGTGTTTCTATTGAAATGTGGACTCTTAGTATGCTGAGCTGGTGGATTTTGCTTGTTATGTTCATGCTGATTGTTTTTGGGGTATCCATGAAGCTTATAACAGTTCTTTATTGTGTGTCTTGTTCTTTTGCAGTAATCACAAAACAATTGAGATTTGTCCACATATTTTCCTGCAGATGAGCGTCCTGTATTACTGGTGGATCAATGATTGAAATTTCTGGACCTTGAAGAACTAACATTAAGTGAAGCAGAGTCCATATTCATCACATTGTGTGGTTTGAACTCTCGTTGCTTTTCCTCTTGAATCAGAATTGAGAAAGCTTGAGCCATGGAAGCTAAGGGATTCAACATAAGGATACTCCCTCTTACAGCAGTGTATACCTCATTTAATCCCATGAGGAACTGTATCAAACGACGATCCTGCTCAGCTTTATGCACATTTTCCTTTGCCCCACACGAACACACACAAGTACAATGATTCTTAGTGCAGAGATTGTTGAGTTCTTCCCACAATTTCTTCATCTTGGTATAGTATGCAGTGATGTCAAAAGTACCTTGGGTCAGATCGTTGATTTCCTTCTGGATCTGATACAGTTTTGCCCCATTCATCTGATCATATCGATCTTCAAGCTCCTTCCAGAGCTCCATCGAATTGTTGACATATTCCACACTGTCCGAAATTTCCTTGGACAGAGAATTGAGAATCCACGATGTAACCATGTCATCGCAACGTTCCTAGTGCCAGAATTGGATGGAATTGATTTCAGGTTTCTTACAGTCACCATTAACAAAACCTAACTTGTTCTTCGCCGAGAGTGCTCGGAGTACACTCCGTCGCCATGATCCATAACCTCTTCCGTCAAAAGGAATTGGAACGAGTGTTGCGCCAGGGTTATCTGAAGGATGCAAGTACAACGGATTGTTCGAATCAATCAAGCTGGGTCCACCTGCCATAACATTAGTAGCAGCAGTTGATGTCGATTCATCGATCGCCATGAGAATCAAACAAGAGTAGAAGCTAGAAGAAAAAAAATCCAACAATGGCAACAAAGGCCAGAGAAAAGAAGAATTGATGCGAAGATGAAATCCCCTGTCGAATCTTCACCTAAGCTCTGATACCATGTCAAATTCAGGACTCCACCATTGATATAAGCTCCATAGGAGCATCTTTCATAATGTGGATCAACTTAGAGAAAATGAAAACCATTTTTTATTGAAGAAGTAAGTATGTATTTATATACAATGATGTGGCTAAACTAACTAACCTACTCAACTAGTTAGTTATGTAACAAACTAACAGAATCAACAACTAACATGCTGACTCAGCATATAATTAGGCACTAGCTAAGATCTTAACACATCAGTAAGTCGGAAAGCGCAGTCCATGATGCTCTCTGCTTAGTTAAGAAGTTTTTCAACTAACAAGATGATAATCTTTACCCTCTTTAGTACCCTTCCGTAAGAAGTCTCGACATTGTGTGCTCCTCTGACTCCTTACCTTCTTCGGCAACCGTTAACAATTATGTATGCATAGTATAAGCATCATTAGCTTTCTATTCTGCCACCATTTTTGGTTCATCGGGATCACTTTGCAACTGAAGGCAGTACTTAAGATTCCACAGCACTGAACCCATTGAAGGACGATCAGTTCCGTGATCAGACAAGCAATTCACTGATGTATGGATGAATTGCTTCAAACATTCTTGTACAATCTCCCCTTTAATATGTGGATCCATAAGTTCTGTGGTAGTATTTTTCCTATGGCATTGTAATGCCCAATCTGCTAGACTGACTTAAAGCTGGCCTTCCAGACACTACTTCAAATAAGACAACCCCAAAAGAGTAGACATCAGACTTTTCTGTCAGTTGCTATCTTCTGAAATACTCTGGATCCAAGTATCCAAAATTTCCCTTTACCATTGTACTAACATGAGTTTATTGGAGATTAGGTCCCGTTTTCGATAGCCCAAAATCAGAAACCTTTGCCACACACATGTCATCCACCAAAATGTTTGTAGTTTTCACATCCCTATGGATGATAGTGTACCTTGCACCAGTGTGAAGATAGTGAAAACCTCTGGCTGCACCAATACAAATATCCAACCTTTTCTTCCATGATAAGGGTGGCTTGTTGTGCTTATAAAGGTGTTCTCTCAATGTCCCATTAACCATGTAATCATAGACTAATATCATCTCATCATTCTCTTCACAATCCCCAATCAGTGAGACTAAGTGTCTGTGTGAATCTCAGTTTTCGATAACTTTAAATTTCTCTAAGGTACACTTATCTTAATTTAGTTAATTTTATCAAGAAAAGTTCATATTAGATTAACTATCAGGATGTATTTGCCATCATTTTGAATACCTGTAGTACTTTGATAGATTAAAAAGTTCATCAATTTCGCTGTCCAGCTGGATTCGTTTCTTTGTTCGTGGATCTTATATTTTGACTTTTATAGCACAAAAATGTTGTTATTTGTTGATAATAATCTGATTTGAATTTTATTATTTATAATGTTTTTATAATATCACATATCTTATATAACTTTATTTAATATTTGAAAATATCCTTCGAATCATATGAAGGAAAAAACCAACAAAACTGACACTTTGGGAGGGTTTTATTGATCATGAGGGAGTTAAACTTTTCAACCAATTTCATGATTACCCTATCATTCTTGCTAGGAGAATTGGGAAATCATCCTCAGGTAAAAGTGCAAATAAATATATATTTTTCTTTTTGAAAAATATATGACATGCTGAAACTAAAATCACATATTCAAATGCACATAGGAACGTCGAATAGATTCGTTGGTTTGACGAGCAGATTCAATACAACAATTGAAATCAATCCTCCATATCCACAAGCTGCCGAATTAAGGACGTGGTAATATACATTTTTATTTAATGCATCAGAATTCTAGAATATTTTGAGATATAACACACATCTTTAATTTTACAATTACAAAGTTTTAAAATTTCACTTTTATTACTTTTTTCATAATCTTTCTACAAGACATATGTAATAAAATGAAGATAGTAGTATTCTTATTTGTTTTTGATAAATGTATGGACCGTAGACTTCTTTACAATCCTTTTTACAATTTTCAAAATGATACAAGTGTTTTGGATGAGCCAATATTAATAAATTTTCATAATTTTATTTGTTTATAGGATCAAAATAATTGAAACAAAGCTTGTTGCTTATAAGATGAAAAGTACAACTCCAATAGGCTCTATTATGTTGATTCCATTTAAGGATGAGGTTATATATATGGCTAACATCCAGGCACAACCTCCAGTAAGAAAAACAAGTATATCATTCTATTTGTTTTTTATATTTTTTATTTTACAGTAAAAAATAATATTTGGCATATTGAATTTGAAGGGACAAGTATTTAATGTTGAGGCTGAATTGTCCCTTGCAAGTAAGGATCAACGCTTTAGTGTGTTAGCATGCTCAAATTGTAAGCAATTGTTCACGAGATATAACGTGCTTAGGGAAATCTACTGCACAAGTTGTCACCGATCCACACATCTTATTCCTATGTATATTTGCTCTTCTACAAAATTAATAATAACTAATTAAGATTATTTATTTTGTTTTTTCAAAGAAATAAATGTTTTAACTAACCATTATTTTTAAAAATTTTCATTAATTATTAAAACATATGTCAATTTGAAGTTACTATTAAGGACAACATCGGTTTTGCAACATCTATTATTTCAGATGAAATTGCAGAGAAAATAATGCACCTCACTTCAGAAGAAATTTATGAAATTTGCTTCGTCAAGGTACATATTACTTTTTTCTCACCAAATAATCACAAAGAACTTGTTGTGATTTTTATTTTCATTGTTTCTTATTTCTTCTCTTGAACACAATGTTCAACTCTCCCTCAAGGTCTCCTATAAAGTCTTCCCACTGGCTTATAACAGTTAAGGGAATCTACGATGAGATGTTCTAACTCACTACTGTCTAAATTATATGCACATAATAACATCGCAAGTAGTAATCCTAAAAATATCTACCCTACATTATAGAGTAGGCTATAATCTTATCTTGCGTGTGACGATATGTAATTATCAATTACTTATTTTTGGATTACTAATCATATATTTTCTTTAATTACGTGAAAAGTATACTATCTAACTTTTAAGAGTTTCAACTGAATGAACATATGAGCAAGTGAACATATGACTTCCTTAACTTGAAAAGGAAATCATATATGTATATATGTAGTTATACTATGGACAATTATTTTCTTTAATTACGTGAAAAATATACTAACTAACTTTTAAGAGTTTCAACTGAATGAACATATGAACAAGTGAATATGACTTCCTTAACTTGAAAAGGATAATATAACTCTATAGGCTTAGAACTCTAGCATAAGAGAATTTGTAATAAAGATTCATTTTTTTATGTATCATGTATGTTGTGAAGACCTTTATAGTAGGAAGAACTTAAGCTCACAACTTTCGAACAATATCTCGTGAGTTCCTTATCAAATAGCATAGAATATTGTAGATGATGAGGGAATGGAAACTTACCTTCAATAGATAAATATCTCGTGAATTAATTATTAATTAGTTATTTTCAGATTACTAATCATATATTTATATGATATGTATATATGTGGTTAAACTATGACATTTTACTTTCTTTAATTACATAAAAAAAAATTGCAAGATTTTGATGTTGCTATGTGGATGCCTTATGTTCCTGTTCTTTTATGGAAATTGAATATATTTTCTCCTGTGATAGCAGGTCAGTTAAAAGTTATATTTTTACAGGTACTTCAATTATCAACTTAAATGAAAATATATTCTTTCTGGTGTTATAATTATTGTTATCGCTGAAAACTATTGTGTTTTAGTTCCTAAAAGATGATATTACTTTCCTCTATTGATATTGTTGGAATAACCACATTAAGCTAATAGAATCAAAAACTACAATACGAAATAACAGTTAGTAATTAAAAACTTGTGAAATCAAACCTGTTTGGTAGAACTGTTTGCCTATTTTGATTTGTATTTTCTTGTGCAAATCTGTCTAAATTAAAAATAACAAGATATAATTAATCCTCTTATATCTATATTATAATTTGAATCTTTCAACAATAGAAAGACTTTGATTATCCTTGATTAATGTTTAGTCCATGATTTCACATTTTTTTCATGGGAGGATTTTTCATTTCCATGCTATGTTTGTGGGTGGAAGGATTACATTTGTTTTCCATGCTTGGATATTCTTTTTTCCCTGAACTAAGATGTTCAATTGTGCGCTTTTTCACATCTGTAACATTGACTGTCGTAGATGCCATTGGTTTATGAATCATATCTTGTTTCTCCAGGTAAGACAAAATGGATAATTTTTGCGTTGCATTCAATTTTTTTGTGAATAGCTTTTTTCATTTGAATGTTGAATATCTTGCCGTTTAATTGATCTTCCACATTTTGGAGTGATAATTTTTGCGTTGCATCCAATTTTTTTGTGAATAGCTTTTTCCATTTGAATGTTGAATATCTTGCCATTTAATTGATCTTCCACATTTTGGAGCGATATATATATATATATATCTTAATTAGAAAATAAAGCGAACAGACAAATCGAAAGAGATCAAATATTTTTATCATAAAAGAAGAAGTTCAAATAGAAAAAGATGATGAGAATAATCATGTCTACTATATGCAAAGCTTGGGAAAGCTTTATGCTAATACTGGGTGAGACTTAGTACTATATACCCTGCACAAGTTATGCTATTTTATATTTTTCTTGTGATGAACTCTATATGGTTACACTCACTCTCCCCCTATCCTCCAAATCAGTGAATTAGCACTTTATGCATGAAGTAAGCCTCATTAAAATAATAAAATTGATCCAAATTCTGGGATAGGCTTTGGTCAAACATTGCTACTGCCATGTTATTTCTCAAGCTGATCTTGCTATGAGATTAAAAATATGCAATTGTACTTGATATTACATTTTTTTGTCCTTGTGATTATATCTATTTTTGTACATTTTTTGTCCCTTTAATTGTTTCTATTTTGTTTACTTTTTCAATACTTTTGATTACTCAAAATTTAACATAACATACAAGTAATAAAATAATATTTTTTTTCTCACGAGAGGTATGACTTGCCTTACCTTGTCCATATGCAATCCGTGAACTTGTCAAGACTATATAAACTTAAGGAATTCTTATACTTTTTATCACATATTTTTTGCATCATAATATATTTTCTTTGTCTATATGGATTAAAATTTTGGTTGAGTTACTCGATTTCTACCTCTTCATGGTTGATCGACACTTGAGATTCTTACAGTCGCGATCAAATGTTCATTTAGTCTCTGCTCAAGATCTACATGTGAAACTCTTGAACTGAATTTCTCCAAGATAAGATTAAAGGAAAATTAAAGAAATTTCATAAATTTTGTCCAGATTGATTAATCCTTTGACATTACCGTCACAATTTTGAATCAATTTCTTTATGAATAATGCCCCTTTAGTCTTATATATAATATAGTTTGAGTTGTGTCTTATGGCTTGCCAAGATTTTCTTCGTCTATATGGGTTAAAATCTTGGATGAGTATTGTCATTTTTTAGGCCTATTGAGATTTGTTCAAGTTTGTTGGTCATATTGTCTCTGTGCTTTCTTAAGTGTATTTTTCAATCTTTTACTATAATATTAATCTTTAACTTAGATCTCATTTCATACATTTGTAATTCATGCTTTGAGTTCTAAACATTTGGCTTTGTTATTTTCTTTCACTACTTCTCATCATGCTTTAGAATTAATTCATTCTTCTATTCCAATGCTAAAAAATGTAGTGTTTATGCTATTTTGGTTGGCTTTTTAAAGCTAAGGTAGTGTTTTATTTGTGCTATTTACATTGATAACTGTTCAAGATATTGTTATCTTGCTAAGTGATCAACTTATGAGAGAGTTAAAAAAAATAAGATGCTTCTATTCTTATTGTTGTTATTATATAAAATGGCATATGTCAATGGTGAAATAGGGCTTCAGGACGAGGTTTAGTTGAAGTGTGATGTTGTCACATTCTTGTGATTCTGTGTTGTATAAGTTATGTGATTCTGTGCTGATATTTAATCCCTCAATTTTAATGTAGCAGGTGATTTTGATCAAAGATGGTCCAGAAGATCCAAGCATGAAAGATGCATCTGTTTTTGTCTAATTTAAAATAGTATGTAAATGTATATAATTAGCACTCCCACATATGGAAATGTTAAACTATGTAAGTATCTCACTTCAACATTCAGTAGTATGACATTCACATGAATATATAATGACAAATTTGGTAGCTATAATGTGTTTAAAAAATTAGTAATTTTTCTCATTGAAATATATTTTATTTTGTTTGTTTAATACGCAACTCATTAATTTTAGGTCCATTATAAATTATACGTTGGGACCGTGTTGTTACTCCATCCATTACTGCCACTACTTTTCTAGATTTGATATCCTATTGTTTGAAATCAAAATGTACAGGGAAAGTAGCCACAATGTTTTCTGGCTAACATGTATTCGTATGTATGGACTAGGAGCATGGCATGACTGGTATTAACAACTGAAGAGTATTTAGAAGATACATGTCAGCAGTAAAGTTATTTGTGGAATGGGAGAAATTAGTTGTATTATTGCACTTTGAAGTTCATGTGATTTAAGTCTATTAGATCTGATATTTGTAAAAGATACATGTGGCTGTAAAGCAAGATAACTTATGCAATGATCTGTTATTTTTACACTATATACTCTTATTATGTCATTTACCTACATCAACCATTTACTTGAATTTTATGTCTCAATTTCCAGGCTGATATCTTTATTATTCTATCTAATGTGTTTTCTAATTTTATGGCTGAAATTCATGGGTGATATGAAGATTTATATAAGAAAATAACAGAATATTGACTGGTTTGAGTTCACATTTTCTGGAATTGAACTGTTTTTTCTTATCATTAAAAGAAGCTCTTTATGGTAGATGTTAATTATAGGTGAAATAGAACTCACAACATTAGGAATGTAGACTACATGTTCATTAGCATGCTATATATACTGTTACACCAAACTGTTCTACCTTTGGCATGAGAATCAAAGTTCATTATAGCAAGTTGTTTTAGGTAGTATTTGTTTTATTTATTTAGGGTGTGTTTGGTACGAAGGGAAATATTTTTCAGAAAATGTTTTCCAATTTTGTCATGTTTGGTTGGGTAAAATGTTTTGGAAAATGTTTTCCAAATCAATTCATTTTCCTCAAATTTAAGGAAAATGACTTCCCTACAAAAATTAAGGAAAACATTTTCCAAAACTTTCCTCCAACTTCAAATTACAATTTCTTATTGAAAAAATTAATTTTTTTATCGAAAATATAAATTTAACACTTATTTTTTAAAAATATTTTTCAACTTCAATTTTTTATTTTTTTACCCCACCCTCACCCGACCCCCCCTCCCGCCAGCC